TCATCCGCCTCGCTGGCCGCTGCGGGCTCAGAGTCCAGCACGGGGACCAGGCCAGCCGGGCGCAGGCGGGGTGCCTCCGGTGAACCCTGGCAAGCACAGGCCCCCGGGCCCCGGCACGCCCCAGATCCCTCCGGCAACGCCCAGACCAGTGCAGTCTCCCGGAGCGTGGTCTCCAGGTGCCCACCCGGCCCCTGCTGGCCGCCCCCCCCCAGTGCTGACCTCTGCACCCCTGCACCCCCCGGACCACCCACCACCACAGCAGTCACCGGCCCTCCCACCCCTGCTGCCGCCTGCCACCCTGAGCTCTGCCCTGTCCCTGGGCTCTGGCCGGGGCCTGCGGGTGAGTGTGAGGGTGCGTGCTCTGCCTGGGAGCACAGCACACCTCGGGGGCTGGGGCCGCTCCCCCCGCACCAGCCACCTGGCCCGTTCACCCATCACCCCTCCGCTCCCCACGCCCGACGGGGCTCCTCTGAGCCCCGCCTCCGACATCTGCCCCAGGCTGGGTCCTCGGGACCCGCCATGGGACACCCCGAGTGAGCCAGCAGCCCACAGCCCCTCGCGCAGCGCTCGCCGTGAGGTCTCCGCCCCACAGGCCGGCCGCGTGCCCGGGCCCTGGACAGAGGCCAGGAGGACAGGGAGGGACGAGGCCAGGCTTAGGAGTCTGAGGAGGACGAGGAGCGAGAGAGGCCAGGGACCGGGGGATTTCCGGGGGGAGGGGACGTGTCCGGGCAGGGCCAGTTGCAGGTCAGGGGAAGGAGGTCAAGGGGTGAAGGTTTGCGAGTCTGGACTTTGGAGGTAGCGGGGAGGTGTGCTCAGCAGTAGAGTGGAGCCAGGCCGGGGCGGGCTGGCGGGCAGAGGCCCAGAGACCAAGCAGCGCCTCCTGGCCAGCCACAGGGTGGGCGTGAGGGCCGCAGGGTGGGGGCGGCCAGGGCTGCCGGGGCACCATCTGCAGCTGGCAGCAGCCCCAGGGGCTCACACAGGTGAGGCCTGAGGCCCCTGCCCAGTGCCCACAGCCTACCCCCAGGCCACACCCGGGCCTGAGCAGTGACCCCGATGGGGGTCTGACGCCAAGCCAGACCCCACCCTTGGCTGCAGTGAGGAGCTGGAAGCAGGAGGAGCACCCTTGGCCCTGCCACAGGCCTCCCCTCACGGTTCAGCTGCCCTGGGGCCAGTGCTGCGCACCTGGGGAAGCCCCCTCGGGGGGCCCGGGCACCCACAGGCTGGACACGACGGTCAGCACTGCCCTCCGCCGGCCTCCAGCACGAGCCCAGGCAGTTGGCACAGCCAGTAGGGAGCCGGGCAAGTGGGAAGGCCCCAAGACAGCACCAGAAAGCCCCAGAGGCCGCCAGGCCTCACTCCGGGGTGGACGGGAAGGAGGTGCCCACTCGGGCTGCAGGAAGCCAGCGCCTCAGCTGGGACGCTGCAGGACGCCCCTTGGGATGGGCCCGGAACCACACGCAGCCTGGCCAGCCAGGACGACGAGGCACGGCCGCTGGGAGCCCGCGGTCAGCTCCCGACAGGTGCGGCCTGGGGAGTGCCGGGTCGGGACAGCTGTGGCCGGCCGCCTCCCCACACAGCCCCTCCCGCGGGCCGCGGCCGGCTCAGGAGCCCGCCCTGTGCGAGGGAACCGGTCAGGGGCAGGAGAGCGCTCTGACCTGGGTGCCGCAGGCCTCCCGGGCCAGGCCAGTGGGTGCAGGCGCAGCCCCGCCGGCCAGCACCTCTCTCTCCCTGAGCTGCCCTTGGGCTGAGAGCCAGCAGGTCGGAGGGTACAGCTGGGGCCCGCACTGGCCGCCCGGGCCCTCCGCGGGGTGGCTGAGGGCAGTGAGGGGCCGGCGAGGCCGGGCCTCACGCGCGGGGAGCGGGGCCTGGGGTTCTGCCAAAGCCGCAGAGGGTCCTCTCGGAGCAGCGGGCCGGCGGCCAAGGCGGGTGGCAGCCCGGCGCGGCCGGTTGGGGAGGCGAGGCGTCTGCAGGCGTGCCGGCCCCGGCCGCGCGGGTGAGGCCGGGGGCAGCTCAGCCTTGACCAGCGCGGGCGGCCGGGCCTACCCCGGGGCGGCGGTCGCCCCACACCCCCCCCCCGCGGCGGCGGCGGCGCGATGGCCTATTAAGGACATGCGGGGCGCGGGCGGGTCCGCGGGCGGGCGGGCGGCGGGGGCGGCGGGGCGGCGGGCGCGCCTACCTTTGTACCTCCCCCGCACCTCCTCGTAGGCCTGCACGAAGTCCTGCTCGGCGGGCGGCGGCGCGGCCATGCCGGCGGGCCGGGCGGCGGGGCGCGGGGCGGCCTCCAGTCCCGGCGGCCAGTCGGGCCCCGCGGCCGCGCGCGCCGCTTAAAGGGGCCGCCCCGGGCCCGCCCCCGGCCAGGCGGCCCCACGGCGGGGCGGGGCGGGGCGGGGCGGGGCCGGGCCAGGGGGCGCCGCGGCCGGTCCCCGCCTGCTCCCCACGGGTCGGGCCGCGCGCCGGCGCCCTCCAGGCCTCCGCGGCCCAGGCCCCGCCCCGCCGGCCGGCCCTGGGCGGCGACCTCACCTGGCCCCCGCGGCCCCGCGCCTCGGCGCCCCCGGAGCCCCCGGAGCCCCCGCGCACGCGGGCCGCGGGTCCTCGCCGGGAGAGGAGCCGCCCGGGGAGCGCCGCGGGGCCGGAGCCCCAGCGGGAGAAGGCGGCTCCCCCTCCCCCGCTGACCGTCCCTGCTGGCCGGATGGCCGTGGACTCTGGGCGACCCACGCCCCGAGCGACCGCGGCCCGCCGCCCCGGACCCGCTCAGAGGGGCGCGCGGACCCGCGACCGGGCAGGGGCCCGCCAGCGCCCGCGCGCCCGGGCAGCGAGGGGCTCTCTCCGGCGGTGGAGGGGCCGCGCGGCCCAGCAGGCCGGACGCAGGAGAGGGCGGCCGGGCCCCTGCACGCGCGCTGGCCCCTGGGCTCGCCCGCGGGAGGCCAGGCCGCCGCCCTCCCTGGGCCCACGGCCGCTGCGGACCCCTGGGCAGCCCACCGGCCAACGCGCAGGCCCAGGCCCCCCTCCCCGCCAGGCTGCCAGGCCAGCCCTGCGCTCCGAGCCCGTCCATGGGCAGGCGGCAGAAAGGCCAGTACTGGGCAGAGGGGGCCACGGCCTCCCCAGCACGCGCTGCCCCGCAGTCTCCAGCCCCAGGGGACCCGCTCCCCAGAGGGACGGGCCTCGACAGGGCCCTCGCGGCAGGGGCGGCAGGGCAGGGCCAGACCCGGCTCCGGGGGCCTAGGGCTCCAGCCGGTGCCCGTCCTGTCCCTCCCGCCCCCACCGCACGCCACGGAGACGGCCCGGCCCGGCGGGCGCCCACGGTCCCGCAGCGGGGCTGCCCCTCCGCCGCCGCGGGCCGGCAGGGGGCGCTGTCCGCACGCGGCTGGGAGCGGGGCCCTGCCTCGGCCGAGCGCCCCCAGGCGGCGCGCCCCGTCCCACCGCCGCCAGCCGCACCGCGGGGCCCCGCGCCGCCAGGCCGGCCAGTGGGCGGGCCGGCCCCGCTTACCTGCAATGCGGATGACCGCCCGCTCCGCGGGGTCCAGGACACTCCCGTTGGCCCCGGAGCCCCCTCCGCTCCGCCGGCTCCGCTGCGTCTTGCCCAGGTTCCAGGGCAAGGTGTCCCCGGGGCTGGGGGAGCCGCTGCTGCCGGTGGAGCCGTCCTCGGCCAGCGCGCGCACCTCGGGGTCCTCGCCGGACATGGCCCCCTGCGGCGAGCAGACGGGTCACGCCGGGGTGCGCTCGCCGCCACCCACCCACCACCCGGGCAGGCGCGGCCCTCCCCAGCCCCCCTCATCGCACAGGCCAGCGGCCCTCCCCCAGCCGCGGCCGGCCCCTCCAGCTCCCCCTGCGACCCCCGCCAGCGCCCCCACTGACCCCCAGCCTGTCGGGCAGCACTCCCTGCTTCTCCCCGCTCCGCGCGGCCAGGCCGGGCCCCGGCCACCCTCCGGAGGGAGTCGCGCCGCCGGGAGGAGGGCGCCGCCGCCCTCCCGACCCGCCCGCCGCCCGCCTGGTCTCCGCGGCGACGGCCTGTAAATAGCGGGCGCCGCGCGGCGTGGGCCGCGGGAGCTCGGCTGCGCGGGGCCGGGGCGATCCGCGCTCCGCCGCCCGCCCCGGGGCGCACGCGCTCGCCGCGCCCTGCCCGAGCGCACCCACGCCCCGCCCGCCCGCCCGCGCGCCCGCCCGCGCGCGCCTCCCGCCCCGCGCGCCGGCCTGGGCGGTGAGCGGGGCCCGTCCCGCGGGGGCACGCAATGCGGGCGCTGCCCCTCCACCCGGGCGGGCTCCTCCGCCGGCCGCGCCTCCCCGCAGCCCTTCCTGCCGCGCCGGCCCCGCCCGCCCAGTTCCGCAGTGCCGGGCGCGCACGCGGGGCGCCTTGTGCGCGGGCGGGACGCGCCGCGCCGCAGCCCCCAGTTCCGGGGCGCCGCGGCCGAGGGCCCGGCCGCGGGGCTCCCCGCGCCTCCCGGCCCCGCGGGTCTTACGTGCCTGGCGCCCCGCCCGGCCGCGGCCGCCCGACTGCCCGACCGGAGAGCGGCGGGGGCGGCGCGAGCCCGGAGCCCCGCCCCGGCCAGCCCCGCCCGGAGCGCGCGAGCGCGCAGCGCCCCTGCGATTGGGGCGCCCGTGGGTGCGCGGGGGGGGGGCCCTGGCGGCTCCGCCGGGGAGCGCCCACGGGGCCCAGCCCTGCCCGCGCGCGGCGGCCGGTCGGCGAGGAGACGCCGCTGGGGCGGGCGCGCGTGACAGGGGCGGCTGGGGCCGCTCGAGCGCGCCGGGCCCGGCTTTGGCCGGCTGCCCGGGGCCGCCCCCAGGAGCAGGCGACTCCGCCCCGGCCCCGCCCCGGCCCCCAGGCCCCCCACGCCCAGAGACCAAGCCCCAGCTCCAGCGGCCGGTTTCCCGGTCACGTTTATTCAAAGGACTGGGGCGCTCAGCGAGGCGCGGGGCGCCCACCCTCCTCCGGGCTCTGCTGACCCTGGCGGTCGGGCCGCCGGAGGCGGGGGGCGGGGGCGGGAGCGGGGAGCCGGGGGCCTCTAGGGGCAGGTGGCCGCGGCTGGGCCCGAGAGCCCGGAGGGGGGAGCCCGGGGCAGGCGCCGGCAGGTGATGAGGTGGGTGGGCAGCGCCTGGGTGTCGTGGAAGATGACGAAGACGCGGGGCCGGTCCAGGCGGTCCACGGCGCTGTCGAAGCGCAGGAGCGCGTCGTCCGCGGCCCGCAGCGGGGGCGCCCGCAGCCCGGGGTGGCCCTGCCCGAAGTCGCCGGTCAGGACGCGCGCCACGAAGACCGCCTTGAGGCCGTCGGCGGCGGGCGGCGAGTAGCAGTCCTGCACCGACAGCGCGGCGCGCTCGGCGAAGTAGACGCCCCGGCCGTACAGCGTGCCTGCGGGGCGGCGGCGTCAGCGCGGGGCTCGCGCGGCCCGCGCCCCCCTCGCCCGGGCCTCACCGTTGCGGCCGCAGAAGCTGCGGTTGAAGCCGTGGGCACAGATGTCGGGGACGGCGGCCGCCGACGTGCCGTGGTACAGGACGCGCTCCACGGGGCGCCGCTCGCAGCGCTGCTCCAGGAGCCCGAGGTGCGCCTCGTACTGCTGCTGCAGCAGGGGGTGCCGCACCCGCTGCACCTGCGCGGGCATCAGGCTCAGACCCCGGGGCCCGCGGGGACCGGCTGCGCCCCCAATCAGAAGCCCCGCTTGGAGGAGCTCAGGGCCTGGGGGAGACACCCGGCTCCCATTTCCCGGTCCAGTGAGACTGGGTGGCCTCGAGGACCCACGAGCCGCCTTCCCCTCCTGGGGTCAGAGCTTTCCGGGCAGCCTGGGGCAGGCGAGTGGTGAGCGTGCCAAGGACCGAGAGAACATGCCGGCCGCCCTCCCACCAAGGCCCCAGCATTCCCCGACCCACAGACCTGTCACCGCAGGCCGGCCGGCAGCCACGGGGCAGGAGACTCCGGGCAGGCCTAGTAACGGGCTGGGGGGGTGTGGGGGGCGGGGAAGCAAGACACGGCCCCTGCGCGCAGCACAGAGGCCAAAGGGGCGCACTGCGGGAGTCACAGGGCGGGACGCGGGTGCCCCTGTGAGGGGGTGGCGGCACGGAGGCCCTTTCTCTGCACTGACGCGCTCTGCTCACCCTGGGGCGGTGGGGGCTGGACCCACCAGACATCTGCCTCCCCTCAGTCCTGAGGCTGCTCTGGCCCCCCCCACCCCCTGCAGCGAGTCAGGAGTGCGCGCCCCAGCAGTGCCCCCAGCATCCCCTGCGGGTCCTCCCTCCAGCCCTCAGCCCTGCACTCTGCCCTGGCCCCCAACCTCCCTTTCCCTCTGGCTCCTCAGGCCTCCCGGCCTCAACACCCCGCCGGTGACCCTCTTCCTGCACCGGCCTAGGCAGGCTGGGACAGGCTGGGGCTCCCCTCCAGCTTGCCGTTGCTCCCGCCTTCTCTGAGGTGCCGAGGGCAGGGCTTCCTCCCCAGCAGAGGGCCCGGAGCCCCAGCAGCCTGGCACCTGGGCAGGTGGTCCTAGCGGCGGCCAGCAGGTGGCAGCACCACCCCAGGCCCCAGACGGGAAACTAGAGCTGACTGGAGAGGGTGACCATGGTCACCAGCTGTGACTGGCCCCTCAACCCCACACTCGGGCCTGGCACCCACCTCTGTGCCCCAGTGCACCCCGCGCGGGTGGGTCCTGGCCGACCGAGGTGACACAGGCCAGAGTGACAGCCCGCAGGCCCTGCCAGGCAAAACGGCCAGCCGGGAGTCGGGCAGCGTGGACTCACCCGGATGATGCGGACCCTGCTGCGGGCGTCGTCCAGGGTGTCGTAGAAGGCCTGCACCACCTCCCGGAACTCCCTGCTGCCCTCGGCCAGACACTCCAGCCCGCCCGGGGGCTCCTTCAGCCTCTGCCGCAGCCCTGCGAAGGCAGAGGTCAGGGGGACAGGGCTGGTTCCTGGGAGGGGCCTACACCCCACCCCGCCTGAAGCGCAGACTCCCAGGGGTACCTGGAGCTTCCACGGGCAAGGCCGGGCTCTGGGCCGGGGCCCCCGCCAGCAGCGCTGCTAGGTGGCGGGCGGCCCGGGCAGGCTGGGCCCCAAAGCCCCTGAGCACGGTGCAATCTCCGCGCAGGGCCACGCTCACACGGTGGAACCGCTCCAGTCGCGCCTGCAGCTCCGAGGGCAGCAGGTGGCCCCCGGGGCCCACCGCCTCCTCCCGGAGGTGCTCCTCCAAGGCGGCCCCCAGCGCCCGCTCCAGCTCCTCCACATCCTGTTCAAAGGCCACGTGCACCTCCAGCTGGGCCTGGCTGCCAGGGCCCCCGCCCGCGAACCCGACTGCCCCAGGTGGGGGCGGCTCCAGCAGGGAGAGGGCCAGGGCTCGCCGCAGCGCGGCGACCTCCTCCTGCTTGGCCTCCCGACCTGGCGGCTCCAGTGAGCGGTGGAGGGCCAGCTGCAGCTCAGCCTCCTCCTCCAGCCGTCCGGGAGCCCCAGGGCTGGAGGTCCCAGGGGCCTCCTCTGGCCGCCCCGCAGGCATCTCTTCCCCTCGCTCCAGGGGCAGACAGCTGTCCAGGGCGGCCAGCAGCTCTCGCATCTCCCCTGGGGGCAGAGGAAGGCCTGGGTCAGGGGCAGCCTGACTGGGCAGAGTGAGGCGTGGGGGGGTGGGGGCGGCACAGGGTCAGAAAACAGGCAGGATGCAGAGCGGGCAGCAAGGACCAGCCCCAGCCCTGGGACGTGCGGAGTCCCCAGAGAGCCCTACCCAGGCTCACGTTCTCCTGGTCACTGCCTGCATCGTCCGGGGGCCACGGGGTGAGGGGCTGGCCAGGCAGGGCCTGGAGGGCCTCGGTGGGATCCTGTCAGGAGACAATGTCAGAAGCTCTGGGCACCCCCTGGGGTACTGGGCGAGGGCACAGGGCCCACCTCTACCTCAGCGACAGACTCCGTGGCTTCCAGGACAGCTGTGGCCAGCCGCTCCGTCCCAAACGCACACCGGAATCGTGCCTCCAGTCCACGGAGGAGCTGCTGTCCTTCCAGGCTCAGCAGGAAACTGGCGCTGCCCGGGTGGCCCAGGCTTAGCAGGTGGCAGCTGACGCTGCCCAGCAGGCACTGCAGGAACTCCTCGGCCGCCCGGCAAGGGCCTGGCGCCCCGCAGAGCTGCAGATCAGCACCTGCAGTTAGGGTGCAGGGCAGGTACAAAGGGAGGGGCCCAGGAGGGGGTGTTCAGGGGGTGTTCCCCTACAGCAGCAGGGCCACTCACCCGAAAGCCGGTCACTGTGGATCCTTCGAGTGGGAAGAGGGCCACATCTCCCAGGTCGGCCAGGAGGTCCTCATGGTACAGCCGCAAGAAGCGGAGGGCGCCAGGCTCCATGGGCAGGACCACATCCACCAGGCCTCCCTGCCCTGGTGACGCTTCAGGCCCCGGACGCCCGGGACCCTCCCACCCTGGCGCCCCCACTGAGCCCACTGGCCCAGCCGGTGCTGGAAGCTCTGCGGGACACGCTGGTGTGGGGGTGGCGGGTGGCCCTGGGGCCTGCTCAGAGCCCGTGGGCACAGTCCCTGCGCCTGTCGGCACCTCTGCAGGCCCTCTGGCCTCCGGGGGGGCAGGCTTGGGGACCCCAGGCTCCCCCTCGGTCAGGTGCCCCCTGGCACCAATGTCCTCAGAAGGGTCCTCTGGCTCCAGGACATCGTAGTGAGGCACGAAGCTGAGCACCGTTCCCTGCAGCTCATGCTCCCGCTGCAGCACCCGCTCCGCAGCTGGGGAGGGGACGGGGTCAGGCCCTCAGGATCCAGGAGGGTCAGGTGTCAGAGAGGGGACGGGGTTGGGCCCCTGGGGTCCAGAAGGGGACAGGGTTGGCCCTCTGAACTCACCCTGCCACTCCTGGAAGGAGACCACAGTGCCCAGGAGCCCAGGTAGGCTACGCAGACCCTCCAGGGCGCCCCCACCGCTGCGGCCCTGGTTCTCCAGGTACAGCTCCAGCAGCAGTAGGTCCACGGACGACGTGGCCCTCACCACACGCACGGCTCTGGCCTGTGGCACCGCGGTTAAGGACACGGCTGCCCCCTCCAGGCGCAGGGAGCGGGCCTGCTCCTCCAGGCCCAGGAGCTCTGCAGGGAGGTGCAGGTCAGCGAGGCACCCGCCACCGCGCAGGCACAGGAGCCCCCGGGGGCCCCTCTCACCTGCCTCGGACAGGGGCTTGGAGAGTTGAACCAGGGCCCGGTCCGGTCTGGGGCTGTCCAGGGCGCGGCAGGGCTGCTCCGGGTGCCCCGCGGCTCGTAGCAGGGCCTGGACGTGCAACTCCAGGCTCCGGGGCGCCGCGCCCAGGGGCAGCCCCTGAAGCAGCAGGCGCGCCGGGGCGCGCGGCGGGGCGGGGCGCAGCCTCAGCCGGGCGCCCTGCAGCTCATGCTCCCGCGCCAGGACCCTCGCCGCGTCTGCAGGCAGGGGCGGCGTCAGAACGGCTCCGCGGGGGCCCAGGCCGCCCCGCCGCCGGCCCCTCACCTGCGGGCTCCCAGAAGGTGAGAATGCCGCCGCCGCCCAGTCTCCGCCAGCTCCGCACCGGGCCGCCTCCGGAGCGCCGGCGGTTCTCGAAGTAGAGGGTGAGGAGCTCGTCCGCGCCGTCGGGGGGCAGCCCGCTGAGCTCCACGGCTGCCTCCGCCGGCTCCTCTGCCCTGGCCATGGCTCCCGGGGCCCCAGAGGGCGGGGCAGCGGCCGCCCCGCCGCCCCGGCCGCCCTCTAGGGCAGCCCTCGCCCGCACGCACGCTCGCGGCCCGCCCGACGGGTGCCCAGTCCTGCTGCGGCCGGCGCTCGGGGTCCGAAGCCGGGAAGGGAAGGGAAAGGAAAGCAAAACCGAAACCCGGGGCCAGGAAGGCCGGGCTTGCCGCGGGGCCGGGCGGCCACACCGGACCGCCCCCCGCGCCCCGCCCCGCCCCGCCCCGCCCGCGGCGGGCCTCGCCCCCGCCCCTCCCCGGAGCTTCAGAACCGCGGTCCCGGCCCCACCAAGCCCGCCAGGGGCTCGCGTCCTGCACCCCTCCCCGACCTCAAGGCCCAGCGCCCGCGCCCGCGGCCTCCGCCTCTCGCCCCGCGGGACCCCCGCACCCCAGGACCTGCCCTCCCAGGACCCTGCGGGGCAGAGGTGCTCTCGGGCCGGCCTCGGCCAGGACAGCCTGGGTGGAGAGTCGGGCGTTGTTGGAGGCCGAGACGCGCTTGGCAGCCCCCACGAATCGCAGGCTTCGGGGGCGGGACCCCGGGGTTCAGGCCTGGGTCTTGAGAAGGACCCGGGAGGGCGCGGGGTGCAGGCCCCGCCCCCGCCCCGAGGCCCCGCCCCGGCCGGCCCCCCTCGCCGCCGGCCCCGCCCCGTCATGAGGCCCGCCCCGCAGAGGCCCCGCCCCGCCACAAGGCCCGCCGCGTCGCAGGCCCCGCCCGTCGCAGGCCCCGCCGCGTCGCAGGCTCCACCCGTCACAAGGCCCCGCCCCGTCACAAGGCCCGCCCCGTCGCAGGCCCCGCCCCGTCACAAGGCCCCGCTGCGTCTCAGCCGCAGGCGCAGGCCCAGCGCAGCGGCCGCCGGGCGGGTGCGGGGCGCGTGCGGGACGGGCGCAGCGGCCTTCCACCGCGGGCCGCGCCGCGGACACCGTGCGCTCCGGCCCCAGGCGCCCGCGAGCGGTGAGTCTCCGGCCCAGCCCCGCGTCTGGCCCGCCGGCCGCTCCCGCGCGAGCCCCGCGCCGCGGCCAGTCGCGGGGGGCCGGCGCGCTGCGCCCGGGGGCGGCGCGGGCCCGGGGGCGGGCGGGCGGGGCGCGCGGCGGCAGAGGACCCGCGCCCAGCGCCCCGGCCCGGCGGGAGCCCGCGCGCCCGCCCCCGCCGCGCCCCCCCCGCGCCCCCGCCGCGTCCCCGCCGCCCTCCGCCGCCGCACCCCCGCCCGCCCGCGCTGTTCTCGGCGTCCCCATGGCCAGGCCCCGCCTAGGCGCGGGGGGCGCGGGCGGCGCCGGAGAGGGGCGCGTGGGGCCGGGGGTGCCGGGGCAGAGGCAGCGGCCGGCCGTGACCCCTCGAGGCCGCTTAGGGGCCGGGATGCGCGGGGCAGGGTCGGGCGCCCCCCACGCGTCCCCGCCGGCCGGACCAGCCCGGACGCACCCGGCCCGGCCGCGGGGAGAGGACCCGCCGGTGGCTGGGAGAAACCGGCGAGGCCCTCTCCCTGCGGCGCGAGCCCGGGCTGACGCCGGCCTCCCGTGCCCGTCCCCTTCTGCGCCTTGGGGGTGGCCCGGCGCGGCCCCTCCCGAGCCCCGGCCCCCCCCCCCCCCCCCCCCCCCCCGCCGCGGCCCAGCCCCGCCGGCCTCTCGGGCGGGGAGCCCCGGGCCCGGGAGGATGTGGTGGCGCCGGCAGGTGCCTGGGAGCCGGCGCCGCTCACCGTGTGGGTCTCTTCTCTAGGGGGCGCCTGCAGAGCCCGCGACCATGCCCCATGAGAAGAGTTTCCTGGTGTCGGGGGACAGCTATCCTCCCCCCAACCCTGGATTCCCGGGGGCCCCCAGCCCTCCATGCCTCCTTACCCCGGGGCCCCTTACCCACAGCCCCCTTTCCAGCCTTCCTCCTATGGCCAACCGGGGTACCCGCAGGGCCCCAGCCCCTACCCCCAAGGGGGCTACCCCCAGGGCCCCTACCCCCAAGGGGGCTACCCCCAGGGCCCCTACCCCCAAGGGGGCTACCCCCAGGGCCCCTACCCGCAAGGGGGCTACCCCCAGGGCCCCTACCCCCAAGGGGGCTACCCCCAGGGCCCGCACCCGCAGAGCCCCTTTCCCCCCAACCCGTATGGGCAGCCGCAGGCCTTCCCGGCGCAGGACTCCAGCTGTGAGTACTGGTGGGGGCGCGGGCAGGGGTGCAGGCGGGGTGCGGGCCGGCGGCACTGACCCGTGCACCCTCCCAGCCCCTCATCTAGGGACCTACCACGAGGAGGGGCCGCCTTCCTACTATGACAACCAGGACTTTCCCGCCACTGACTGGGACGACAAGCGCGTGCGGCAGGCCTTCATCCGCAAGGTGGGCGCCGGGCACCCGGGCGCAGCGGGAGGTGGGCGCCGCCGCGGGCCTGACCGCCTCCTCCCCAGGTGTTCCTGGTGCTGACCCTGCAGCTGTCGGTGACCTTGTCCACCGTGGCCGTGTTCACCTTCGTTGGGGAGGTGAAGGCCTTCGTCCAGAAGAACGTCTGGGCCTACTACATGTCCTACGCGGTCTTCTTCGTCTCCCTCATCGTCCTCAGCTGCTGCGGGGACTTCCGCAGGCAGCACCCCTGGAACCTCGTGGCCCTGGTAACCCCCGGAGCCCGTCCCCCACCCCCGCCCCCGGGTGCCGTTCCCATGTGCCAGCAGCCCACACCCGGAACTCTGCCCCACAGTCGGTCCTGACCCTCAGCCTGTCCTACATGGTGGGCATGATCGCCAGCTTCTACAACACCGAGGCGGTCATCATGGCCGTGGGCATCACCACTGTCGTCTGCTTCACGGTGGTCATCTTCTCCATGCAGGTGAGGGCCGGGCGGCGGGGGGGCGGGCGGTGGGGCAGGTGGGCGGCCTGGCACCCCGGCACCCACCCCCTCGCCCACAGACGCGCTACGACTTCACCTCGTGCATGGGCGTGCTGCTGGTGAGCCTGGTGGTGCTGCTGGTCTTCGCGCTGCTCTGCATCTTCATCCGGAGCCGCATCCTAGAGATCGTATACGCCTCGCTGGGCGCGCTGCTCTTCACCTGCGTGAGTGGGGCTGGCGGGGGGTGCAGGGCGGGGCAGAGTGGGGAAGGCGCCCCTCACCGGCCCGCCGTCCCCAGTTCCTGGCCGTGGACACCCAGCTGCTGCTGGGGAACAAGCAGCTGTCGCTGAGCCCCGAGGAGTACGTGTTTGCGGCGCTGTACCTGTACACCGACATCATCAACATCTTCCTGTACATCCTCACCATCATCGGGCGCGCCAAGGAGTAGCCCGGCCCAGCGCCCGACAGTGCCCACTGCCTGCCCCTGAGCCCCGGGCACCTGGGCCAGCCGGCCCTTCCCACTGTGCCCTGCACATCCTCTGTCCCGACCCGTGGCCACAGCATGGCCCGCCCCCCCGGGCAGCGGCCGGGCTCCGCGCACCCCCCCACCCCGCCCCATTGCATGAGCCTGTCCCCAGCCCACCCCGGGTCTGGGGGCGCCGCCAGGCCCAGGGAGAGGGAATGAGCCAAGAGGTGAGGGCGCACGTCTCCCCTCTGTCCCAGCCCCCCGCCTGGCATAGAGCACCCCCACCGCGCCTTGCAGCGCTGCCCGCGGGCCGAGGGGCAACCTGGGGAGGGCGCGCACCTGCTGCTGTCTCTGAATCAGAATAAACGGGACCCTCCCGCCGCCCTGCCTGTGACCTCTCCCTGGCCGCCCACCCGCTCAGGCTCACACAGCAGCTTCTGCCTCTCAAACTCTTCCCCCTCCCCCCCCCCCGCCTGCCACATCAGGGGTCCCTGCCAGGACTCCTCAACACCTACCCCAGGCCTGGCACACACAGGCCCCCACACGCAGCCTCACGCAGGCCCCCCCCACACCGCCGGCAGGAGCTCACAGCCACCCCCCAGCCAGCTGTCTGTCCCCACACCCCTTCACAGGGGCCCTGCTGGCGGGCCTGACTCTGTCTCTGGGCACCCGGCCCCAGCCTCCCCAGCGCCTCACCCCAGTGGGGCCACAGGCCACCCTGGCACTGCACATGTCTCGCGGCAGCCCCCACAGGCCCCCACCTCCACCCTTCCCACAGCCAGTCGCCCCACTGCAGCGCCTGAGGCATGCGGGGCTCATGGGGAAGGCGTGCACAGCACCTCAGCCGCACCCCCCAGCCGCCACCCAGGCCACAGACAGCGCCTGCGCCTGCCAGAGCCTCCAGGGTGCTGGGTGAAGTCCATGGTCTGCGCCCGGCACACAGGCCCTGCCATCTGCCTGCTGGCCGCTCCAGCTGGCCTCCCGCCACCTCCTCCCCTCCCACCAGGCCTCGCCGCTCGGCCTGACCCCCGCCCCAGACTCCGCTCACCACGGGGCCCGTCCTGGAGTCGTCTATCCTGTCACCCCGCTTGTCCCCACGCCACGCCCCGGGCAAGCGACGCATCCCCCCACCTCCTCCAGGAGCACGTGCCTCCAACCGCCAGGGCCCTCAGCTCCCGCAGCACCCACACCAGGGGGCTGAGGACAGGCGAGGTGGGATCAGGGCACAGCCCCGCTGGAGACGCCAGTGGCCTGGGGCTGGGCTGGGCGCGGAGCCAGGGCCTGCTGCCAGAGGAAGGCCACACCTGCCGGAGCGTCCTGCAGAACAAGCCCGGGGCGGGGCCCGCAGCCTCCCTGGGCAGGGCAGATGCCTGGCGGGTGAGCCTGGAGCAGGCGCCTGCAGGTCCAAGGCCGGAGGAAACATGGCAGTCGTGGGCCGAGCCTGCTGGTTTACGACGAGGTGGCCCCCCACCGTCCGAGAGGGCCTGGCCCGGCGGTCAGGCTGGCGTTGCGGGCGCGGGGCTGGCGCAGGCACACGCAGGCCATGTCCGGTTCAGAACAGAAAGGCCCACACGGCGCTGGTGCCAGAAGCCCATGTGGCCCAAATGTTCAAGATGAGACCCCTGGTGACCAGGTCCCAAAAGAGCTGGGGCCCCGGCATGTCCAGGCCAGGAGGGACGGCTCAGGGCCTGGCTCGGCCCGTCCTCCTGCCACAGAATACCTGAGACGAGGTGGCCGCCCGCAGCCCCCACCAAGGACTGCCCCACAGCAAGGCCTGGACCCCGCAAGTCACCCAAAGGAACCTGACCCCGCCCCCCCGCAGGGTGGGGCTCGCCCCCCCAACACGCTAATTCATCCTTTAGTCAAAGAGGGATAGTTACTCCGAGATCCACCGTCGTGTCCAGGATTCCAGGACATGAACGTCCACAGCCTTCCTGCCAAGCAGCCCTGCTGGGCGCCGTCAAGGCAGAGACCGGGCCCGCAGCTCGCAGCTGCCACCTTCTGCTGGCCGGGGCTGCCTCCGCGGTGAGGAGGGGCCTGGGAGAGGCCAGCAGGCCGCCGGGGCGCACAGAGGCTGCGCCGTGACGGGCAGGAACCACAGACTCGCCTGCCCCGGGCCAGCATGGCGGGAGGTGCCGCGCCACGTGGGCAGCGAAACAAGCAGCAGAAGGTGAGGGGATGCCAGCCCCGGCGGCGGGAGGGGGCGCGGCCAAGAGCCAAGGGCACTGGAGGCCAGAGGAGGCCCGGAGCGCACAGCCCCGACCCCCGGGGCCTGCAGGGAGCGGCTCTGGCTGGAGCAGGCCAGGGAGCCAGGGGAGGCCCCCGGGGCGCGGCAGGACCCGGAGGGGCGCGGTGGTGGGGAGGGGGCTGTGCACCTCCCAAGGCGGCCCCGGCGGCCACGCATCGGCTTCTTGAACGTCCCCTCTGGCGCTGGAGCACTGGCGGTGCGCCACCCGGGTGCCCCTCCGGCTTCTCGGCCCCCTCGCTGTCCAGGCGCCGTCCTCCGCCTCCCGTGCGTCACCCGCGCCACCCCCTCGGGCGCCCTCGCCACACACCCCAACCTCCCACACGTGCCCTGGCGGCCCCCCCCACCCCAGCACTCCCTGGTTCTGGGCGACCTGCCTGCTGCCAGCCCGGCAGCTCGGGGACCTCAGGCCCTAATCCCGCCAAGGCCCGGGGCCCCAAAGCCGCCCCAGCTGCGGCACCCCGGGCCCAGCGGACTCGCGGGCAGCCCAGGAGCCCGGCTCCACTCAGCACGTGAAGGCGCCGGATGAAACACTTGGAGACATCAGCCCGCGCGCCCAGCACAACCGCGGGAATCGCGCGCGAGGCCCCAGCCGGGAGGACGGGTGAGCCGTCAGGCCCCGCGGGGGACAGGCCTGGGCACCCCCCCACGCCGGCCCCACGCCGGCCCCACGCCGGCCCGGCACCGACCCGCACCTCCGTGGCCTCCGCGTAACACACCCGGCACCTGCCGCTCGGTCACGGGCCCTCCCGCCCCGCGGGACGGGGCCTAAAGACCGGCAGGGAGGCAAGTGGCAAAGGCAGGCGAGCGAGGCCCCGAGGGGAACAGGCCACTCGGGGAGACAGGCCCGGGGTGGGGGGCCGGGACCACGTCTGCCAGGAGACTCGACCGGCAGCTGGGAAGGGGGGCGGGCGGAGGCCATGCCAGCGCCTGGGGGGGCGCGGGGAGGGGGGGGCTCCACGGCCTCCCCAGGACACTCTCGGGCGGGGCGCCAGGCACGGGCCCGCCGGGGCAGGGCAGGGAAGGGCCACTCGGCCCGGGGCAGCCTCGTCCTCGGGCCGGCGCCAGGGCGGGGAGGCGGGTCCGCGGCGGGCAGAGCCGCGCGGAGAAGAAAGAGACGGCGCGGCCGAGCGCCCCGCACACACGCGCGCGCACACACACACACACACACACACACACGCCGCGCCCGGCGCCAGGGGAGGCGGGGGAGGAACGAGGCGTGACGGACAGAGACCGAGTTAAAGTAAAAACACGTGAAGGAAAAACCAGACCACGTAACCGGCATCCCAGGGAGAGCAGCGGGAAGAACAGCAGTGTCGGCCCCACCCAGAGAGTCATCAGCCCTCGAGCCCCCAAAACCGCCCCAGAGCGGCCCCATGGCATCCCGAGCCCCCCGTTGCCACCTGAGCCCTGACCCCGGGAACCCGCCACTGAATTCTCTTTCCGGACTTCCCGGCAGACGCGCCCTCAAAATCAGCCCTTGCGGGCGGGGCTGGGCAAGGTGCAGGCCGGGGCCAGAGTCCAGCGCAGCCCCCACGGGGAGCTCTGAAAAAGGGGAAACGAGACACAGACACGCAGGGGAACCGGCTGGAGCCCGGTGCTGCTGCCCGGAGGCGGAAGCGGAAGCCGCAGGGGGGCCCCTCAGGGGCCCTGATGGGGACACAAAGAGCCTTGCTTGGAACCGGGAGCCCAGGCCGGTCGACGGGGGACAACACGCAGTGTCTCGTCACTGAGGGGGCTGCGGCGCCAGGAGGGGCCTCCCCTTCTCCGTGGGGAGCGAGGACTGGCCCAGGGGACACAGGGCAATGGTCTGGAACCATCACCCGCACGAGCTGCAGGAGCAGAAGACGCTGCCTGCAGGAGAGGGTGCGAAAGGGCCCAGGGTTTCCCCCGCCCCGCCCAGCGAGGCGCTGTCTGCGGGCAGGGCCCGGTCTTGGGGCGTAGCGCGCTGGCGGGGGTACAGCCATGAGCGCTGTTTGGCAAAATCTCAAAGGGAACAGGCACAGCCTGGCCACAGCCACCCCCAGCGCACACCCACAGGAGCCTCGCGCCCGCCGGCTCACACCGGCGGCCGCTGGAAAGCAGCAAGTCCACACACGGTGCCTTCTCGCCCCCGCGCGGAGCGCCTCGGCCAGGCCACGGCCCGCGGGCGTGCACGTGGGGCAGCCACAAAGATGCTGCCCAAACCCCCTCCTCCAGCACGAACGTCCCGGGAGAAATGATGCTTCCCAAAGGGGGAGACGGGTCACCAGACAGACAAATGCAGCAGGCAGTGGGGTGAGGGCCTCGGAAGCAGGGGCGGGCCAGGACAACCTTCCGTCCAGAACCCCCGTCCAGCAGCTGCCACACACGCGGGAGCAGATAACCAGGTTCACAGAGAAGCGAGGACCACAGGGCTGCCGCCCAGAGGCTTGACCAGCCAGTGCATGCTCTCCACTCAGAGCCTGGGTTCACTTTTCTTTCATTTGATTTAAAATGTATTAAGGAGGGCGTCCCTGGTGGCGCAGGGTTGAGTCTCAGCAATATGAAGCTATCAGCAGCCTCTGAGGCACCAGTTTGATCCCCAGCCAGGGAGCTACCCACATGGTGCAGCAGACCTCTCCCGTCTCCCTGCTGCTCCCCTCAGCAGTGGGTTTCAGTAGATCTGCCTGTTCTGCTCCCCGCTCTGTCTGTGGGGAGTCCTCTCACCCCCGCACCTCTGGCCTGCACCCCAGCTCTTGTGTGCATAAATAAATAAGATAAACCTTTAGAATGTATAAAGGAGAAGTAAACCGGAAAGGAGTGACTGCAGCCCAAGCGAGCAAGGACACAGTGTGGGGTGGGTGACTGGTCTCAGTGGCCTGGGGAGCGCGGCAGCTCCCTCCACGGGCAGCGGGCGTCGTGCCGGACCAGTGATGAGGGGCAAGGGCTCTGCCAGGGGTGAAGGAGGCGTCCGCAGGCTCTGGTCTTGTTTGGGAAAAGAACTGAAATACTAATCAGCATATTGCTGTTTGTTTGTTTTTTAAAGATTTAATTTTTATTCATACAAGAACTGGGGTACAGGCCAGAGGAGCGGGAGGGTGAGAGGATCCACCAGAGACAGAGCGGGGAGCAGGACAGGCAGACTGACGAAATACACTGCTGAAGGGAGCAGCGGGCGACAGGAGAGTTTGCCGTGCCGTGTGGGAATCTCCCTGGCCGGCCGGGGATCGAACCCGCGCTGCAGAGAGCTTCACAGCGCTTCGTTCAACCCGCTGCACCACCAGGGAGGCCCAGCATATTGCTATTTGTTCTTTTAATAATCCATGTTTATTTGTATAATGAGCAACACACTCACGTGACTCAGAGCTCAGGGAGCGGGAGAAGCCCCGTCCCCATGTCCCTGCCCCGGGGCCTTCCCGGCAGGGCCAGCGTGTCACCAGCTCCAGAGCTGCGGGAGGAAAGCAAGCCCGGATTCTGCCTGTGTACAGAGAGCGCAGATGTGGACGTGTGGCTCAGCGTTTCCAAACAGGTGGAGGGAAAGGAAGGGAAAACAGAGGCAGAAACTCAACAGAGGCGGGAAAGAAGAAAAGCAGACAACAGATCAACGGAAACAGAAACGCTGTCAGACCACGGCCGATGGGGTTTTGCAGAGTGCGGGGTCCTTGGGGTCGCTCTGGGAAAGGTTCCCCAGAGCAGAGAAACAGGGAGTCCGACCGCTCCAACACTTACTGTGCAGGGGATCAGGGACAGGCGCCCCGACAGGCCTGGGCAGCGGGCTGGGCAGGGCAGGACCCCAGACTGGGCCACTCCGGCGCGGGGCGAAGGCCCAGCAGCCGTGGGCGGGAGAGGCCGACGCTTCCGCGAACACGCCTGGACGGCGGGGTCACCTGCTTGTGTTTGCAAAGGCGAAAGCCCGGCCAGTCTCGCACCAAACGCAAAAAAAGTGCTGCCGTTGGCCAAGCACCCGCGCGTCAAGGGCAGAACGGAAAGAGAACGCCCCGGGAAAGGGAAAACACCCCCTGCTCCCGGGCGGGCGGTCACCCTCCCCCGGGCAACAGGCCGCTGCCTCGCACCCCCAGCCCCAGCAGCGCGGCATTCTTGGCGCGACGGGGATGCGCGGCTGACACGGACGGGACCACGAGACAACCCGCGCGGCCCAGACGTTCCTAACAACGGCGGGGACCGGTGGCGCCATCGCCCGTCTCGACTCCCCCGGCAGCTGGTCGGCAAAGCCATGGGGCGTCGACTTCCAGCAAAGCCGCCACCGGCCGGCCGAGGGCTCAGAACCGCCCCCGGCACGGCAGGACGCGGAGCGGGGCCCGGGCAGGACCCGGCGAGCGGTGGCCCGGAGCTCTGACCGCGGGGCGTCCGCTGAGAATCGAGCAGCAGAAGGTGCTGAGAAGCGCGCTGGGAGCTGGGAGCGCCGAGTGTGGCGGGCCCGGCAGGGACACGCCCCTCTTCGGGCAGCACAAGGGCTGCGCGCCCACCGCTGCTCCTGGCACTGACCGCCCGGCCCAGCAGACGGTCGAGAAAGACCCGCCCCGTGGGGGAGGCCCCCGCCGCCGCCTCCCGGGAGAAAACACCAAACCCCAACTCGCCCCGCCTGATGGGGGCTGCCTGCGCCCCGGCCCCGCACTGGCCCCCAGGCCGCTGCCTGCCTCAAGGCTGAGCGCCGCCTCCCGGGCCCTGGCCGCGGTCAGCAGTGCCCGGCACCGGCGTCTGCAGATCCCGAGGCGACACCGGCCCCAGAGCCCCGTCGGGTGATCGGCCTTTGGGCGTGGGTGGGCATCTGTGGGGCACCCCAGGGGGCAGCAGCCGCAGCCCGTCCGCGTGGACAGGAGTGGTGTGGGGGGAGGGCCTGGCCGGAGGGCCCTGCCTCAGCAGCTGCAGGCTCTGGGACACGCCCGGCAGGGGCTCGCGATGCCCCGAGGAACCCCAGGCGCAGAAGGGCGCGGGCTTGGGGCCGGGCCGCCAGCCACATCTGGCACTCTCACACGGGGACAAATCTCGAAGCCGGGGACCCCCAGCAGCAGGGGGGAGAGTGACCCCCACCGCGACGGCTGTGGCCAGGCCGCCCAGGCGGAGTGGGCCCAGGGCCCTGCAGCTCCCCGCAGTCGGCGGGGACGCTGCCGGACGCTCCCGGCTGCTCCCAGGGACACGTCCAAGGGCTCGGACAGGACAGCGGGGCAGGAGGCACCGAGGGTGGCGGTCTCTCACCCCACTCGCCCCGACTCCAGCCCAGATGCGCGATCGGAATTTATGCGGGTGAAGTTCGGCTGAACCCCGTGCTCCCCAGCCCTCTGCTGCTCCCCCCACACACCAGCAGGTCCGGCCAGCGACGGACACCTGTCCGCAGGGCAGGGCACGCGCGCGGGCGTGAAGGGGCACAGGAGGTGAGAGCAGGGGAGGCCTGGCGGGAGGGCGAGGAGGGCTGGGGCCGTGCCAGCCTCCTGGGGGTACGGGCCTCTCGGGCCTCTCCCAGTACAGCTCTGCAGCGGGGGCTGGGGGCAGCCGAGGGGCGCGCGGTGGCCGGAGCAGACACGGCACCCAGGCACCAGGTGGCAAGACGAGGAAGGTGGGAGCCCAGAGCCCGGAGGGCGCCAGCCCCCTCCCCACCCGGCCTCCCGCCTCCCGGCCCTGGCTGAGTCCAGCGGGCGTGCGCTCCAGCGGCCCTGGTCCCTGGCCACGGTGGCTCAGCCGGACCTTGTTGGGTGGGGAGGGCTGGGACGCCCCATTGTGAGGTCCGGCTGGAATGTCAGGCTCAGACCAGCCCAGGCTGGCGGATCTGCAGCCCACCCTTGCCTCGCCCCCACCAGGAGGGAGCCCAGCCCAGGCCCGGCTTCCCCCCTCCCCTGCTCAGGAGCAGATGCCAGAGCCAGTGGAGACGGGACGTGCTGCTGGACCCTGCGGTCAGGCCTGCAGCCCTTGCTGGGGAGCTCCGGGGCATACGGGCACCCAGGACACAAGGGCGATGGACACAAGGGCAAGGAGCCGGGCACAGAGTGTGGGCACAGAGTGTGGGCACAGAGGGGGCGCGGCTGGGGCCTGAGGGAGGACCCGAGTCGCCAGAATGGCAGCCCCAAGGTACAGGGAGCCTGGCTTTGGGCGAGGCCTCCCGGGGCCACAGCAGAGCAAGTCCGGGTCCCTTCAGAAGAAAGCGGGGTCAGGCCCGGGGCCCACAGTCCAGATCGCCCAGGCTGACAGGCAGGATCCACCCAGCCAAGGCCAGACACCGGCGAGGAGGGTGGACTCCCTGGCACCAGCCCGTGCCGGAGCCAGGGGCATCTGACCGCCCCTCGCTGCGAGGGGCCGAGGCGCTGGCCGCAGTGGGGCGAGCGTGTTGGCGGGACACGCATGCAGGGAGCCAGAGCGGGGCGGCCGCAGGGGGCTCGGGAGTGAGCCTGCTCCAGCAGAGGGCCAGAGGGGCGCCCAGCCGCTGACCTCACAATACCCAGGCCTGAGGCCAGCCCTGCAAACTCTGGCGCCCCCCCAGCCCGGGCAAGGCCCGGGGCCCTGGGCAGCTCCAGGTGCAGGGCCCGCGCCGGCCGCCCTCCGCTGCCCGGGGCATGTCTCTGCTCACCAACTACGAGGGGCTTCGGCAGCAGATCGAGCGGCTGGTGCGGGAGAACGAGGAGCTGAAGAAGCTGGTGCGGCTCATCCGGGAGAACCACGAGCTCAGGTCGGCCATCAAGACGCAGGCGGCAGGCCTGGGCATCAGCGGGTTCAGCGGCCGGCTCGGCGAGGCGGGGAGCGGCTCTGCTCCGTGCCAGGGTAACTGCCCGCGCCCGGGGAGAGCGGGGGCAGCGCCAGCCCCACCGGCGAGGCTAGCAGGCGGGGTCCCGGGAGTCGGGGGAGGGGCCGGGGCGCAAGGCAAGGGGAAGGGAGGACACAGCACCCCGGGATAGAAGGGCAGAGCCAGGTCCAGGCCCCAGGTGGCAGAAGCTCCTGCCCACCCCCTCGGGGGCAGCGCCACAGACGGAGGTCCCCGGCTCTGGGCGCACGGCAGCGCCCCCGCCCCACGCTCAGCACCCATCTCTCTCCACGCGGGCCCGGCCACGGGCGGGTGACAGAGTCTAGAAGCCAAGGAGGGAAACTGGACTGGCCTCCGGGCTCGGCTCGGGAACCCTCAGTGTAGACAGAAGCCCTGGGGCGGCAGGAACCAGAGGGGACGGCAAGGGCGAGCAGGCCGAGGGGCAGGTGGGTGCGGCCGGAGTGTGGGGCGCACGGAGCGCGGCGACAGGAGCGAGGGGGGCGCCGCTCTGGGTGGAGGCAGCCGGCTGAGGGGGGCGCTCCTGGGTGGCAAGGCCTGGGTGGTTGGCACCGTGCCCGCCCCACCGCGCCTCCTTCCCCCGCCAGGCCCCCCCCCACTCGTCCCCAGGCCGACTCCGCCCGCAGGCGCTAGCCTAGGCCTCGCCAGCCCGGCCTGGGCCCACCCTGCCGGGAACACCAGCTCTGGGACAGCCACGCGCAGCTTCCCGGGCAGCCTCCGCGGGGGTCTGGGGCCGCAACCCCCTGTCCCCCAACACGCCAAGGCTGCGGCTGCTCCGCACCCCCTCCACCCCCACCCCCACCCCCAGCCGCCCGCTGCGCGGCTTCAACCTTCTGTGGGAAACGCAGGCGCCCGCCGGGCCCGAGTCCCTGGAACGCAGCCGGGGGGATGCGGAGCCCTGGTGCCTGTGTGGCCCCCACGGTGCCCCCACCTGAAGCCGATCACCCTCAAAAGCTGCCTCCCCTGCTCCTACCACCGGGCCCCTGGCGCCCAGCCTGGCCAGGGCGAAGTCGAGGCCGCCAGCACAGGGGCCCCTGCCCGGGAAGTCACCCCGATGGCCGAGGCGCAGCCTCCGGGCTCCTGCTCCCCCGTCAGCCGAGAAGACTCCTCCTGCGCGGTCCTCAGGCCACGCCGCGGCCGCCTGCTCCTGAAGGCGCGGGCGCCGGGGCCAGGAGGGGCTCTGAGGCGAGGGGAGCCCAAGTAGCTGGCGGGGGGGGGCGCCCCCGCGGCACCCCAAGGGCACGTCCTGCTCCAGGCCGGGACCTGGGTTTTGCCGGGCCCAGAAGACCGGCAGGTCGAGCGGCTGTGCGCGCGGGGGCCGCGGGCGAGCGGGCGAGGGGGGCGGCGCGGGCGTGCCTGCCCGGGTGGGCTGCGCCTGGGGCCGGCCGAGCCTTCTCTGCTGGGGCCTCCCGCGTCTGGGCAGCCGGGGCGAGGCCGGAGGGGCTGGGCCAGGGGAGCTGCCGGGGGAGGCGGACGCGCATCCCCAGAGACGGGACAGGGACAGGAGGCGCGGGCTGCGCCCTCCGGGAGGGGAGGGTGGCCCCACGTCCGCGGGGCATGTGGGCGGGTGGGCTGAGCAGCGCTGCGGGACCGAGGGCAGCGCAAGTGAGGCCGGAGGCTGCGGCCCGGGGGGCCTGCCGTGCCCAGCAGGGGCAGAGCCCCGCGGCTGCCCAGGCGGCCGGTCCTTCCCGCCCCACCCCGCGAGCGGCCTTCACCACAGTCGGGCTCCGGCGCCCCACCTGCCCGCGCCCCCCGGACATCAGGCCTCCCGGCCGCCCCACCCCCTCCCGCTCAGGACCGCTGGCCAAGCCCTGCCGGCCGTCGCCAAGGCCACCGGCGCAGGGACACCAGCTCGGCGGGGGCTGCCGGGCGGCCGGGAGGAGCCGGGGCGGCACCAGGTCCCCGCGGCCGGCCAGGGCTCCTGCAGGCGCCACGGGCGGGCCAGGAGCTCGGGGAGCAGAGGAGCCCTAAGTTCAAGCGGGACCTCCCGGGCTGTCGCTCAGGCTCACGGCCAGGCGGCCTGGCGCGGGCTGAGCGGGGCCGGGCTGAGCGGGGCGCGGGCTGAGGGGGGCGCGGGCTGAGCGGGGCGCGGGCTGAGGGGGGCACGGGCAGAGCGGGGCCCGGGCTGAGGGGGGCGCGGGCTGAGCGGGGTGCGGGCTGAGCAGGGGGCGGGCTGAGGGGGGCGCGGGCTGAGGGGGGCGCGGGCTGAGGGGGGCGCGGGCTGAGCGGGGGCGCGGGCTGAGGGGGGCACGGGCTGAGGGGGCCCGGGCTGAGGGGGGCGCGGGCTGAGAGGGGTGCGGGCTGAGCAGGGGGCGGGCTGAGGGGGGCGCGGGCTGAGCGGGGCGCGGGCTGAGGGGGGCGCGGGCTGAGGGGGGGCGGGCTGAGCGGGGCCCGGGCTGAGGGGGCGCGGGCTGAGGGGGGCACGGGCAGAGCGGGGCCCGGGCTGAGGGGGGCGCGGGCTGAGGGGCGCGGGCTGAGGGGGGCACGGGCTGAGCGGGGGCCCGGGTGAGGGGGGCGCGGGCTGAGCGGGGCGCGGGCTGAGGGGGGCCCGGGCTGAGGGGGGCGCGGGCTGAGCGGGGGCTGAGCAGGGGGGGCGGGCTGAGGGGGGCGCGGGCTGAGGGGGGCGCGGGCTGAGGGGGCGCGGGCTGAGGGGGGCACGGGCAGAGCGGGGCCCGGGCTGAGGCTGGGGCGCGGGCTGAGAGGGGGGCGGGCTGAGCAGGGGGCGGGCTGAGGGGGGCGCGGGCTGAGGGGGCGCGGGCTGCGGGGCGCGGGCTGAGGGGGGCGCGGGCTGAGCGGGGCGCGGGCTGAGGGGGGCGCGGGCTGAGGGGGGCGCGGGCAGAGCGGGGCCCGGGCTGAGGGGGGCGCGGGCTGAGGGGCGCGGGCTGAGGGGGGCGCGGGCAGAGGGGGCCCGGGCTGAGGGGGGCGCGGGCTGAGCGGGGCGCGGGTTGAGGGGGGCGCGGGCTGAGCGGGGCGCGGGTTGAGGGGGCGCGGGCTGAGCGGGGCGCGGGTTGAGGGGGCGCGGGCTGAGCGGGGCGCGGGCTGAGGGGGGCGCGGGCTGAGCGGGGTGCGGGCTGAGCAGGGGGCGGGCTGAGGGGGCGCGGGCTGAGGGGGGCGCGGGCTGAGGGGGGCGCGGGCTGAGGGGGGCGCGGGCTGAGCCGGGCGCGGGCTGAGCAGGGGGCGGGCTGAGGGGGGCGCGGGCTGAGGGGGGCGCGGGCTGAGGGGGGCGCGGGCTGAGGGGGGCGCGGGCAGAGGGCGCCGCAGCCGCGGGACCCGCGGGCGCGCGGGGAAGGGCGGGCCGGCCCGAGGTCGGAGGGAGGCCAGGGGCGAGCCTGCAGCGCTGCGGGTCTCCCCGGCGGCCGGGGGGAACAGTGAGCAGGCCAGGCTGGGGGGCAGGAAAGGGGGTGCTGGCGGAGGGGAGCCTGAGGCCGGCGAGCCCAAGAGTCACCGAAGCGCCACAGCCCAAGCGCCGACCAAGGCCCCGCCCCCGCCGACCAAGGCCCCGCCCCCAAAGCCAGGAGGACCCTCCCTCGGGCCCCGCCCCCAACTCCCGCGGCCGCCGCCTCACCAACCTCTCCCTCATGACCCGCCCCCTCAAGCCCACAGGGCCCCGTTCCCCTCGTGACTCATCCTCCCTAAAATGGCCCCCTCCGGACTCACCTTCCCCATCTCCCAGTCGCTCCCCCTCCGCGGCCTCCAGCCTGTCACCCCCGACCGGTCCTGTCCTGGCTGCCGATCCGCCGCCACAGCCCGGCCCCCAGGCTCGCCCCGCCGGGCCCTGCCCAACTCGGGCCCCGCCCCGCCCCGCCCAGAGTCCCAAGCCGGGCCCCGCCCCTAGCCCCGCCCAACTCGGTCCGCCCCGCCCAACTCGGGCCCCGCCCCGTCCCGAAGCCCCGCCCAACTCGGGCCCCGCCCCGCGCCGAGCCCCGCCCCTCGGCCTCCCGCTGAGCCGCCCCTGTGCCCCGGCGTGGGCAGCTGCGGAGCCGCCCGCGTGGGCCTGGCCTGGCCTGGGGCGAAGCCCGCCCGCCGGGGGAGCGCGCCGCGCTGGCCAGGAGGCCGCGGGGCGGGGCGGGGCGGGCCGCGGGGTCCCCAGTCCGCAAGGGCGGCGGGGGTCGAGGGAGACCGCGGGGCGCCGCGGCGGAGACGGGCGTCCCCGAGAGCGCGGGGGTGAGCGCGCCTGTGGCGGCGGCGCCAGGTGTCCGGGCTTCCTAGACGGGCGCGGGCCTGCGGCCGGGGCGGGTGGGCCCGGGGCGCCTGGACGCCGCGCCCCGGCTCCCTGGGAGGGCCCCGGCCTGCGTCAGCCCGCGCCCCGCTCCCCGGGCCCCGCGCCCCTCATCCCCGCTCCGCGCCGGCCTCGGCCGCGAGGACACCCGGGGCGCCCGCCGCCGGCCCGAGGGCGCAGCCGCAGGGGCGGCCGGGTAGCGCAGCTGGGGCTTGGGTGGGCGTCCCCGAGGGGCCCGCGCGCCCTGGGCACTGCGGCGCCGGGGAAGGTCCGCGCTCGCGGGGCAGCTGCAGGCGTCTGGGCAGAGGGGAGCCGGCGTGAGGGTGGTGGTGGCTGCGCCCCATTTGGGCGCTGCGCCCCGCCAGTGCCCTGCGGGGTTCGGGCGAGCTGGGGCTGGCGGCCGCGAAGGCTTCGGTGGCGCAGGCCTGAGCCGCAACGGGGGGGCGGGGCCAGGCCGAGGGCTAGGGGCGGGGCCAGGCCGTGGGGCGGGGCCAGGCCGAGGACTAGGGGCGGGGCCAGGCCGTGGGGCGGGGCCAGGCCGAGGGCTAGGGGCGGGGCCAGGCAGCGCCGGTGGAAGCAGGTGGGGGCCTGGACACCAGCCCAGGCAGGGCCGGAGGGTGTCGACGCCCTCCCACGGCGGGGGGACCCAGCGCCCCGCTGCGCCGCCTCTGAAGCAGGGCGGACAGGGCAGAGGGGCAGCAGGGCAGGAGGCCGGGTGGAGGACGCAACAGCCACCGGCCCGCCCGGGCTAGACCGGGCGCCGCTGACAGCCCCGAAGACCCGAAAGGCCCAAACCCCGGGCGCGTCGGGCCGCGGCCGGGCCTTTCCGACCCGCCCCCGCAAGGGCTGCGGCTCCTCCACCTCCCCAGGCACCGCGGGGCCTCCCCGGAGGCCGGCCCAGCCTGTCCCTCGCACGCGCGGACCGGGCTTATAGCCTCACTGGGGTGCCCCGCCCACAAGTCTGATTGGGCCACTTTTCAGTCCTGCGGCTGATTGGGCCAGTTACCAATCAGCTCATGCCACCTGATTGGTCCATTCCGCATCCCGGAAGTGTGCTTTACATAAAAGGGCTGAGGCGCCACTGCCTCGACTGACGGGTGGTGGGCGGCAGAGCGACGGGACGCCTCCGCTCCGCCTTCCTGGAACAAAAGTCTGGTTGGGCCGTTTAGCACCAATCAGCTCATGGCTCGCACCTGATTGGCCCGGGCCACAATCCCGGAAGCGCGGTGTTATATAAAAGGTCTCTGAGGCGCAAAGGCCACAACCGGCTTGCGGTGGAGCCCAGGGTGCGGGGGCCACTGCTCCTGCCGGCTCCCCTGCTGAGCGGCAGGGTCCGGGTATCACCTCCAGGCGCCGAGCACAGAGGGGACCCTGGGTGGAGGCGGGCAGGAGGGTGGGGAGCCAGCGGATGGAGGTGGGGGCGCGGGCGGGCTCACATGTGGGAACGTCTGAGCGCGCGGCCACCAGTGTCCACGCTGCGCCGCAGGCCCCAGGCCCCTCACAGAGCAGCTCCGCTTCTCCGTCTCTCCGAGCCTGCACCGGCGTGTGCGCCTCTGCCAGCCAGGCAGCTGGAGGCGCTCGTGAACGCTGCTGCCCCTGCTGCCCGCTGCTGCCCGCTGCTGCCCACTGCTGCGCGGGGCCAGCGCTCTCGGGGCCCCCAACTCGCTCCTCTGGAAGGAAAATGGGAGGGAATGGTGGGCCTGGGCCTCTCCAGCCCCCAGTGGAGGAAAAGGTCCTCACCTGACCCGCTCAGGAGGCATAGAGAGGACAGGTCATCTCAGCTCAGGGAGGTGCGGACCTTGGCCACTCCGCCACTCTGTGAGGGCGCTGTTCCCTGAGCCTTCCCCCGGCCGGCTCAGTGCTCCCCCGGCTCCCACAGGGATGGCTGAGTGCTCCCCCAGGTCCCAGGGCCGGCTCAGTGCTCATTCGGTGTCTCTGGGGCCGGCTCAGTGCTCCCCAGGGTCCCACAGGGCTGGCTGAGTGCTCCCGAGGCCCCTGGGATGGCTCAGTGCTCCCCCAGGTCCCCAGGCCAGCTCAGTGCTCATTTGGTGTCTCTGGGGCCGGTTCAGTGCTCCCCTGGGTCCCCCAGGGCTGGCTGAGTCCTCCCCGAGTCCTGGGGCCGACTCATTGCTCATTCTGTGTCCCCAGGTGTCTTCTTGTCCCCGTCCCTGGCCACAGCGGGTGAATCTGTCCTGGAGGAAATGGGGGTCGTGGCTTTGGCGCCCCTAGCTGAAATGCTGAACAGCTCGCAGTCCAGTCCCCTGACGGGCCCTCTCAACACGCTGCTGTCCAGCCCAGGGCCCATGTCACAGAGCACCCAGCTCACCAGCCTCCTGACAGGGCCCCTGGGCAGCCGCCTGACCAGCCCCATTGCTGTGACCCCTGTGGGCACCCTGCCCAGTTCCCTGGGGCTGCCCTCCACTGGCTCCCTGACACCCAGTGGCCCCCTAGCAGCCCCCCTGGCCATGTCCCAGGGGGGCCCCCTGACCAGCTCCCTGGGGTTGCCTTCGACAGGCCCCATGTTGCCCAGCGGCCCCCTGGTGGACCCCCTCACCATGCCCCAGGGGGGCCCCCTGACCAGCTCCCTGGGGCAGCCTTCGACAGGCCCCCTGATGACCAGTGGCCCCCTGGTGGACCCCCTGGCCATGTCCCAGGGCAACCCCCTGATGGCCCCCATGACTAGCCCCATGGCCCTCTCTCTGGGCAGCCCCCTTTTCACCTCCACACCTGCATCTCTTGGGGTCTCTCAGAATCTCCTGGCCAACCCCATGAGCAATCTCGTGGCATCGGAGACCCAGGGGGTGCGGCTGGCAGAGCCACCCCAGGGAGCCCCCGCGGCCCCCCACCCCTCGACCTGCACGGTGCCTGCCACGACCTCCAAAGGTAACAGGTGGGGGTGGCCCCCGGGGCGGGGCCCCTGCCTGCCCGGCGTTGGGTCCTGCTCACTCTAACCCGCCTCTCTCTCTCTGTCCCCTCCCCATGTCTCAGCCCCAGTCACCACTGAGTACCCCCAGCCAACCCAGGACCCCGAGCCCCTCAATGTGACATTCGGGGGTGCGCCCATCCAGCCCTCCAGCTCCATCAGTGCTGCGGGCACAGCGGGCCCCACACCGGCCTTCTACGGCACCTCAGATGCCTGCACCCAGCCTGGTGCCCCCCAGGGACCAGCCGTTCCTGCCTCTGTCCCCGCCTCCCAGACTGGCTCCCCCGCTGTCCCCCCCCCCCTCCTGCCCCCACCCCGGCTCCCTCAGCCACACACGCCAGCTGCCCCCCCTCCAGCACCACCCAGGTCGCCCAGGACACCCACCAGGCCCCCGCTCAGGCACACCACTCCCCCACACGGCCGCCACCCAGCTCCCGCTCCCCCCCACGCAACCCCCACTCCCCGCCTCGAGCCCCATCCTCCGCGGCTGCTGTCCAGGGGACCCGGGCCCCACGCGGCCCAGACGTAGCCCGGAAGAGCACCCCAGACCCCGAGCGCAAGCTGACCCACCGCAAGACCTGCAAATTCCCCGACGGCGCCCGAGGTCAGCGGCCCGCGGGGGGGCAGGGCCGGGGCTCCCCGCTGTCCCAGGAGGCCTCCCGCTGCCTGCACCTGACCCCTCCCTGCACCCCTTGTCCCAGAGCCGAAGCAGCCAGCCTGGGAGAGGCTGGTGGGGGAGATCGCCTTCCAGCTGGACCGCAGGATCCTGTCCAGCATCTTCCCAGAGCGGGTGCGGCTGTACGGCTTCACCGTTTCCAACATCCCCGAGAAGATCATCCAGGTGCGTGGGGCGGGGGACGGCCTGGCCCACCCCGGCCCTGGCCCCCAGCCGGCCGGGGTGGCGCTGAGTGCGTCCCTGGACCGCCAGGGCCTGCGGCCAAGTCACACGGCCTCGGGGGGAGGGGGGCAGGGGGCGTCCCAAGCAGGATCAGGGCCCTGGGGGCGAGGGGGGTGCAGGTGGGGGTTGCGGGTGCCGACTGCTGAGAGGCCATCTAGAATGAGCCCTTGTGCCCTACTCCCGCCGCTCCCCCTTCCGCCTCCCACCCCCGAGTCTGGGGTCGCGGGCCGGGGCCATCTGGGCGGGGCGACCCCGCTCCTGTGGGTGTCTGTGTCCAGGTGAGCACTTGCCCGTGCCCTCAGGCCAGGCTTCGAGTAGGGCTCTGCATCCACGCGGTCCGGATCCGCCGCCCTCCATCCCGGGCTGCGCCTCGCGCCCACCCTGTTCCCGGGCCGAACGCGCCCTTGGCCTGCACTGGCTTCTGGTGGCTCAGCCTGGCTTCGCCCACTGGCACCTCTGCCAGGCCCCGGTCCTAGCGCCAGACCAGGGGCGAGAATGAGGGTGGCAGGGGCCGGCCCAGAGTGCAGGGAGCGCGCAAAGGGCGCCACCAGCACCTCCGGCCCCCGCGCCCGCTGTCCTCGCCAGGGCCGGGGCCGGGCACCCAACTCTTCCACATGGTCTCGGCCCCTCCGCCCCCCGCGTCTCCAGGACTGTTACATCAGCGCGCCCAGTCCCGGGAGACGTGGAGTCCCGACTCTCACTTCCGCGGCGGTGGTCGGGCCAGGGAGCCTGGTCGCCCCAGCCCCCGGCGCCCGCGCGGGAGCTCTCTGCTTGCACCAGGGCCAGCGGGGGGGGGGGGGGCCTCTGCGGAGCATCCGGGCATGGGGCCCCGCTGGGCAGACGTGGATGTGCCCTGGCACCAGCTGGCCGCAGCCATGCTGAAGTGGGCAAACGCCGTGGCAGCACGAGAACGACGCCTTGCCAGCGCTGCAGCCCGTGGCAGAGACCACGGCGGCGAAGGCCCACGCCGCTGCCCACCCCGCCACTGGACACTGGGTGGTGGGCGGGGCCGTCCTAGGAGGCCCGTCTAAGTGGAGGGTGAGGCTTGAGAGCTGGGGTCGCTGCTGACCCCCGTGCGGGCTCCTTCTGTCCACGCGCGGGCGCGAGATTCGACCTTCACGCACCGGTGGTGGCTTTCGGGGAGGAGGCGGGAGCAGGACAGTGGAACGTTTGAGGACATTCGGGGACCAGCATCCCCTGAGCCAGTGGCCAGCTGTGGCTCCCACACCACACTCACGGGTCACTCTGCCCAAAGGCCACCATCCACCCTCAGAAGCGCCGCCTCATCCTGCTGCCCCAGGGCCGCAAGCTCACTGCCCAGCCAGAGGCTCCGGTTCCTCCCGAGAAGGGTCTCCACGGAGCCCCCACGCAGAAGCCGCCTGTGGGGCCTGCGGACCCAGCTGGCCCTCTCCAGCCCCGACACCAACATCCGCCCGCCTGAGTGTCCCGGGGACGCCTCCTGGCCCGCGGCCCTGTCTGGCGGGCCGTCCGCGGCTCCCGTCTGGACCCAGTTCCGCTCTGGTCTTTCATTCCCAGCTCCGGAGCATCTGTCCTCCCTCTACGCCCTGTGTGGGCCCGGCTCCAAACCAGCCAGGCCCGCTACCTGGGCCGCCGTGCCCAAGCCAGCCGCCGCGCCCAGGCTGCCCAGCTTCACGCGGAGGAGTCCACCGCTCGCTGGGGACGCCCCGTCCCCGCCGAGATGGCCCTCTTCTCTCCTAAGACGTGCCGGCGTCTCCTCGCTGGCCGACCGCCCGGCCCCCACCCCCCGCACGCCCGGCACCCCCAGCCCGGCGCAAAGGGCCTCTTTTTGGAGATGGTGCTCTGGCACGCCGCTTCAGGCACCCCCGCTGCTCCCCAGGCCAGCGGCACCGGCGCAAGGGGGGCCAGGCCCTGGTGTCTGTCCGGCGGCTCCTGCGGTGCTCCGGATGCAGCGGGACCGTGGCTGGCCTGGGTGACGCGCTGCCCCACAGCCCGCCCCGTGCGAACGGCCTGCAGGCGTGCAGGGCCTGGAGCAGCAGAAAAGCTACACGGCCTGGCCTCGCTTTCCAACCCGGCGGGCGCCCCCCAGGCCCGAGGGGCAGACGTGCTGCCCACCAGGAAGGGTGCTGTCCCTCTAGGAGGCCAGAGGCCCACGCGGACACACAGCTGGCCGGCGCCCTGGGCCCATGAGCACGCAGCGGGGGCCCAGACAGGCACGGCCGGCGGCTGGGATTTGGTGCAGCTGCCCATGAAGGGCCAGTCCCCAGCCCCCTCGCCCCCCTCAGGCCTCCCCTCCGCACGGATCGCCCAGGGCCCAGGCTCCACGGAGGCACCAGCACAAAAGCCCAAGCAGCAGCTCAGTCTCCGCCACGACACTTTAGAGGCGTCCCTCGGCCGCATTTGCTGCTTTTCTAAACCGTGAACAGATCCCGCATATTCTAGAACGTTTCTTCTCTCTCGCTCTGAGGTGACCGCACCCCCTTCCGCCAATGCTGACCCACGATAAGAGTTTCTGATACTAAGTCACCCCGCAGCCTGGGCTGCGAGGTTTGGGCAGGACTTGCGAGGTCTGCGGCGTCCCGAGACCCCGAGAGGCGCCGGGAGCAGGTGCGCAGCCCCGGGGCGGGCGCGGGGCCACCGGCGTAGCCTCGCCCATTGGCAGAACTCGGCGACTGTCAAGTGCCTGCAGGACGGCGCACACCTGCCGGCATCACCTGGAGGACAGTGGGGCCCGTTCCTGGTCCTTGTCTGTGGGACTCGCCCGCTCTCGTTTTGCTGCTCCTCTGGATCCACCCTTCGGATCGAGCCTAAATTTCTGCTCCTTATCCCCATCTTTTCTCTTCCTTTCGATTTGCTTTACTATTACTTTTTTATTGTATGCACACAAGAGCTGGGGTGCAGGCCAGAGGTGGGGTGAGAGGACTCCCCAGGGACAGAGTGGGGAGCAGGACAGGCGGGTCCACCGACACACACTGCTGCGGGGGCGGCGGCGAGACAGGAGAGGTCTGCCGCCCTGGGGGTCCCTCCCTGGCTGGGGTGGACTCAGGGCACAGAGGCTGGGACAGCTTCATAATGTGAGCCTGACCCCTGCGCCCCACTTTTCTTTCTTGAGCCGCGCGCTCAGGCCATTTCATTTCACGTTGCGCCAGCTTTTAGATAAAGGCCTCTGGGAAGTTGCCGCTCATCGAGGAGGTACTGCAAGCCCGGAGCAGCTCAGCCCGCAACTTCACACGCAGCTGCACACGTTGGGCGGTCACAGCAGGGCCTGCTGAGCAGGGGGCTGCGCGGCTGCCGGGGCACCTGGGAGGGGAGGGCCCGGCTGTGTGGGCGCAGTCACTGTGAGCCCCCAGGACAGGCACCCGAGGAGCTCAGCCCGCCCTGGCAGCTGGAGCCGGTGCTGGGGAGGAGCGCATGTGCGCAGGCCAGGGGAGTGCGCAGGCCTGGGGAGAGGGATGTGGGCGGGGGTGACAGTGGAGGAGGCTAAGGGTAGCACGGCAGGGAGCCAGGCGGAGGCCTGGCAAAAGCCCCGGGGCCAGGTGCCCCAGGGGGCAGTAAGAGCCCCTCAGTGCCCTGTGGCAGGAATGGGGCAAGTGGACTCCCCAGCCGTGGCCAGGGCCTCGCTGTCTTCCCTGCCTGTCCTGCAGGACACCCTGACAGCCGCTGTCCCCACAGGCCTCCCTGAACCCCCACGACCACAAGCTGGATGAGGACCTCTGCCAGACCCTCACACAGCGCTACGTGGGCATCATGAACCGGCTGCAGAGCCTGGGGTACAACGGGCGCGTGCACCCCGCGCTGACGGAGCAGCTGGTGAACGCCTACGGCATCCTGCGGGAGCGGCCCGAGCTGGCCGCGTCCGAGGGCGGCTCCTACACGGTGGACTTCCTGCAGCGCGTGCTGGTGGAGACGGTGCACCCCAGCGTGCTCACGGATGCGCTGCTGCTGCTGTCCTGCCTCAGCCAGCTGGCGCGTGACGACGGCAAGCCCATGTTCATCTGGTGACCGCGGCCGCGCCCCAGCGGCATTAAAGCTTCACAGCCACTGGCCGCGGCACAGGGGCTGCCTGCACCGCCCCTCGGAGCCACCACTGCATCCGCCCATCCTGGGCCCCAGAGCTGTGTGCCGGAGGGGTACGCGGCCGGGCAGGGCAGGGCAGGAGGCCAGGAGGCGCGTGGGGTCGGGGACGCCACCTGGGGGTGCGGGGCAGGGGTGAGGAGCAGAGCAGAGCGTGGAGCAGGAGCGAGACCAGCATGTGGGCGACAGCTCCTCCTCTGCCTGCACTAGGCAGGGTTGCAGGGGGGGGGTCTTCTGGAACCCCACGGGGGGCAGCGGCATAAAGCAGCCTCTGGCAAGGGCAGCCAGGCCAAGGAGCGCCTGGGCAGACCCCACCTGCTGCAGGGGCAGGTGTGTGGGGACCCCAGCCTAGGGCACTCCTGGAGCACCAGGGTCTGGATTCCAGGGGCCAGGCAGGGGGCCGGAGTGGGGGCTCCTGCCCTCCACCCCCAGCCCCTGCTCCTTCAGGGGATCCAGCAGCAGCAGCAGGCGGCCATGCTGCAGACCCACGCGGACCTGCTGGTCATCTGTGGGGACGGCGGCGGCCAGGCAGGCCAGCAGCACGGCATAGCACCAGACCTCAGTGTCCAGGGAGTCAGGACTTACTCGGGAGTGGGGCGGGGTGCAGAAGCCCCTGCGCTGCCCTGCCAGGGAGTGCGAAGGGCAGACCTGCCCCAAACCCCAGAACAATTTTAGAGCCAGCCACTGGGCTGGTTCGGAGCTGGCAAGGCAGATGCCGTCCTCACGCCGCGCAGGAGCCGGGAGCAGAGCGCTGGGCGCTCACGCGGGCTCCCCGGCTCCAGTGGGCAGCCGCGGGGGGCGCCCCCCCCCCCCCCCGCCGTGGACGCTCCTCCAGCGTCACAGTCGTCACCTCTGCGGGCCTGCCCTGGGGCGAGCCCGACGGGGCGGGGCGGGCCGGGCCACTCGGAGGGTTGGGGCTGCCTCTCCAGCCTCAGGCCGAGCCTGTGGGGCCGGGCCGGGGCCGGGGCCCGGCCCGCGCGCGCGCAGTTCCGCAGGTCGCGGAGGGAAGAGGGTCTCGCGAGCGCAACGAGCGCCGCCCCTGCCGCCCCCCAAACCCCCCACCCCGCGCTGGTTGCGGCTGCGCCCCAGTACTGGTTCTCTTGGAGCGGGCTCTCCCGAGACTTGGGGGGCGGGTGCAGGGCACCTGGGGCGGGCCTGTGGGGGTCGGGGCCCTTCCGCTTGCCGTTTCCACTCCAACCGCCGCCTCGGACGCGCGGAGCCGTGAGCAGAGCGCGGCTCCCCGAGCGCGCCCCGGGGTCGCGGGGCCCAGCGCGCTCCCGCGCAGGTTGCGCCACGTGGCCTCGAACCCCGCGACCCCCCGCAACTCCCGCCAACGCCCCGCCGAGTCGGCTCGCCGGGTGGAGACGGTGCCGGGCGCCATGCCGGCCCCGGCCCCTGGCGCCCTGCGGGCCTCGCCCTTCGCGCACCCGCTGCTGCACGGCCTCCACGGCCTGGCCCGCGCGCTGCTCTTCCCGGCCTACTGGGCCCTGGACCGGCTGCTGTGCTGCTGCGCGCCCTACCCGCGCCCCAGCGGCCTGCGGTGGCTGCGCGGCGCGGGGGCGCTGCTGCTGCTGCTGCCCTGCCTGCCCCTGGCCCTGCCCGGCCTGCCGCTCTGGCTGCTGCTGCAGGCCTGGCGCCGCCCCTTCTGCTACCAGCCCCCGCCGCACTGCTGGGCGGCCCCCGCGCCCTGGAGCGCCCCCGCCGAGCCCGCGCGCAGCTTTGGCTTCCTCAGCGCCAACGTGTGCCTGCTCCCCGACGGGCTGGCGCGCTTCAGCAACCTGCCGCACAGCCAGCGGCGGGCCGAGGCCCTGGGCGCCCTGCTGCTCGCCAGCCTGCAGGCCCCGCGCCCCGGCGCTCCGGGCTGCAGTGCCCCGGGGCCCGGCGGGCCCGGCGGGGTGCTGATATCCACGGTGCCGGCGGGCCTGGACTTCGTCTGTCTGCAGGAGGTGTTCGACTTGCGCGCGGCCCGCCGCCTGGTGCGCCGCCTGGTGCCCGCCCTGGGCCCGGTGCTGTACGACGTGGGCAGCTTCGGCCTGCAGCCCGGGCCGCACCTCAAGCTGCTGGGAAGCGGGCTGCTGCTGGCCTCGCGCTACCCGCTGCTACGGGCCACCTTCCACGCCTTCCCCGACGCGCGGCGCGAGGACGCGCTGGTCTCCAAGGGACTGCTGTCCGCGCAGGTGCCCGCCCAACGGCGCGCCCGGGCCGAGGGAGGGCCGGCCGGCGGCACGAGTGGACGAGGGTGGCCGGGGCTGTGCGCGGTGTTGCAGGTGCAGCTGGGCTTCCTGGACGGGCGCCGCATCGTGGGCTTCCTGCACTGCACGCACCTGCACGCTCCCAGCGGTGAGCGCGACCTTCCGCCCCGGGCAGGCCCGCGCTGCCTCTGCGGGCCCCACCCCCGCCCGCACTGCCTCTGCGGCCCCACCCCCGCCCGCCCGCGCTGCCTCTGCGGGCCCACCCCCGCCCGCGCTACCTCTGCGGGCCCCACCCCCGCCCCACCCGCACTACCTCTGCGGCCCCACCCCCGCCCGCGCTGCCTCTGCGGCCCCACCCCCGCCCGCCCGCGCTGCCTCTGCGGGCCCCACCCCGCCCGCGCTGCCTCTGCGGGCCCCACCCCCGCCCGCGCGCTGCCTCTGCGGCCCCACCCCGCCCGCGCTGCCTCTGCGGGCCCCACCTGCCCCGCGCCCGCGCTACCTCTGCGGGCCCACCCCCGCCCGCGCTGCCTCTGCGGGCCCCACCCCCGCCCGCGCTGCCTCTGCGGCCCCACCCCCGCCCGCGCTGCCTCTGCGGCCCCACCCCCGCCCGCGCTGCCTCTGCGGGCCCACCCCCGCCCGCACTACCTCTGCGGGCCCCACCCCCGCCGCGCTGCCTCTGCGGCCCCACCCCCGCCCGCACGTCCTCGCCCCACCTTGGCTCGAGAGGCCCGAGGGGTGCCGGCGGGCGCCGAGATCCGGCGCGGCTGGGTGTCGCGGTGCGACGGCACCCCGGGCTGAAGCCCCGCGCGCCCCCTCCGCCCCCCACCGCGCAGAGGACGGGCCCGTGCGCTGCAAACAGCTGACGCTGCTGCTGGACTGGGTGGAGCAGTTCGAAGCCGCAGGTCGCCCGAGCGACGAGGCCGTGGCCTTCAGCGTGCTCCTGGGCGACCTCAACTTCGACAACTGCTCGCCAGGTGAGCGGCCGGGGCGGGGGCGGGGGGCGGCCTGGCCCCGCCCACCGAGCGCGCTCCCCCGCAGGTGACGCGCAGGAGCAGCAGCACCCGCTCTTCAGCCGCTTCCGGGACCCCTGCCGGCTGGGCGCGCGCCAGGAGCAGCCCTGGGCTTGGGGTACCGCCGCGGGGGTGGGCGCGGGGTGGGGGGGCCGGGCGGGGCGGGGGCGCGGCCCGCCGACCGCTGAGCCCGCCCCCCGCAGGAACCGTGCTGTGCGCCTCCCGCCTGCGCCACCCCGAGGCCTGCTCCCCGGAGCTGCTGCGCAGGTGGGTGCCCGCGGCCGCGCGCCCTCCCCGCGGGGGGGCCGGCCCTGACGCCGACCGTCCTTAGGGCGCTGCAGCGCGAGGAGGGGCGCCGGCGCTACCTGGCGGGCCCGCCCCGCGGAGCCCCGCGGCCCCGGCCCTGGCGCGGCCGGCGCCTGGACTACGCCGCGTTCCGGGGAGAGCCCGGCGGCCCGCTGCGCCCCGTAAGTGCCACGCCCCGGCGGCCGGGCCCCCGCCGGCCCGCACTCACCGCGCCCCCCGCAGGAGCGGCCGCAGGTGGCCTTCAGCACGGCGCTCGCGGGGCTCACGGACCACCTGGCGGTCGGGCTGCGGCTGCGCGTGGCGCTGCGGGCCTGACCCGGCGGCGAGGACGGACGGCGCCCGGACAGACGACCCGCAGGCTGGCGGCCGCCGACCTTTATTGCGCGGCTCACACGGCCTCCTGCGCCCGGCGGTGCTCGTGGACGCTGCCGCGCGCGGGGAAGGCGGGGCGCTGCGGCGGCGACCCCGGCGGGGGCGCGGGGTCCTCCGGGTCCCCGTAGCCGCCGCCGCCCGGCGTGTGGAGGCAGAACACGTCCTGCGGAGCGGGCGCTGGTCAGGGGCGCCCCGCCCCGCCCCCCAACCCCGCCCCCCATTAAAGCCGGTCCCCGCGCAGCTCTGTCCAGGCGGGCGCGACGCTCACCCCGGGGAACACGGGCACCGACGTCTTCGCGCCCAGGTTCACGGTGCGGCCGTCCTTGCGGACCAGCAGGTTGAGGCCCCTGGCGCCCGGCTCGCCCCCTGCGGAAGACGGGGTGACAGGCGGGGGGCGGGGCGCGGAGGGGCGCCGGCCCGGGGGAGGGGCGCGCGCTCACCGTGGAGGCCGTAGGGCCGGAAGGCGCGGCGCTCGGTCAGCACGGACAGCAGCGCCTCCTCGCGGAACAGCAGCTCGCGGACCACGCCGTCGCCCCCGCGGAAGCGGCCGCGGCCCCCGAGCCGGGCCTCAGCTCGAAGCGGCGCAGGATGACCGGGTACCTGCGGAGGCCCGGGGCTCAGCGCCCCCGCCCCGGCCCGGCCCCCGCCCCGGCCCGCGCCCCGCCGCCCGCGCACCGGCTCTCCAAGATCTCGGGGTCGGTGATGCGCGTGTTGGTCATGTGGCTGTGCACCCCGCTGCGCCCGTGCCAGCCGGGGCCCGCGCCCGCGCCGCCCGCCACCGTCTCGTAGTAGCCCATGTGGTCGTTGCCCAGGGTCACGTTGTTCATGCAGCCCTGGCAGGGGCGAGGGGGGCTGCGTCCGGCCGGGGCCCCCCGCCCCGCGCCCCAGCCCGCCCCCACCCCAGGCGCGCCCGCCCGCCCCGCGCGCACACCTGGGAGGCGGCGCAGGCCCCGAAGGCCCCCAGGATCACGTCCACCACGCGCTGCGACGTGAGCACGTTGCCGCCCACCACGGCCGCCTCGGGGGACGGGTCGAGGATGGAGCCTTTGGGGATGACCACGCGCACCGGCGCCAGGCAGCCCTGTGGGGGCCCAGCTCAGTCGGGGGATCAGCGGCCCCACCAGCACCCCAGGGTCGCTCGGGCTGTCGGCTGACCTGGCCCCCCTAAGTCACTCGGGGTCGACCCCTGCCCAGGCGCACCTGGTTGAGCGGGATGTCGCGGCCCACGAGGCAGCGCAGGCAGTAGATGAGGGCGGACAGCGTGATGGCCCGCGGGGCGTTGAGGTTGCCAAACACCTCGGCCCCGGTGCCGCTGAAGTCGAACACCGCGCTGCCCTGCCGCGGGGAGGGGGCAGGCCGTCAGCAGCCCCGGCCCGCGCCCCCAGCCCCGCGCCCCCAGCCCTGCACCCGGGCCGCGCCCCCAACCCCGCGCCCCGGCCGCCCCGCCCCCGCGCCCAGGCCGCGCCCCCGGCCCTGCACCCGGGCCGCGCCCCCAACCCCGCGCCCCGGCCGCCCCGCCCCCGCGCCCAGGCCGCGCCCCGGCCCTGCACCCGGGCCGCGCCCCCAACCCCGCGCCCCGGCCGCCCCGCCCCCGCGCCCAGGCCGCGCCCCCGGCCCTGCACCCGGGCCGCGCCCCCAACCCCGCGCCCCGGCCGCCCCGCCCCCAGGCCGCGCCCCCGGCCCTGCACCCGGGCCGCGCCCCCAACCCCGCGCCCCGGCCGCCCCGCCCCCGCGCCCAGGCCGCGCCCCCAACCCCGCACCCCGCCGCCCCGCCCCCGCGCCCAGGCCGCGCCCCCGGCCCTGCACCCGGGCCGCGCCCCCAACCCCGCGCCCCGGCCGCCCCGCCCCCGCGCCCAGGCCGCGCCCCCGGCCCTGCACCCGGGCCGCGCCCCCAACCCCGCGCCCCGGCCGCCCCGCCCCCAGGCCGCGCCCCCGGCCCTGCACCCGGGCCGCGCCCCCAACCCCGCGCCCCGGCCGCCCCGCCCCCGCGCCCAGGCCGCGCCCCCAACCCCGCACCCCGGCCGCCCCGCCCCCGCGCCCAGGCCGCGCCCCCGGCCCTGCACCCGGGCCGCGCCCCCAACCCGCGCCCCGGCCGCCCCGCCCCGCGCCCAGGCCGCGCCCCCGGCCCTGCACCCGGGCCGCGCCCCCAACCCCGCACCCCGGCCGCCCCGCCCCCGCGCCCAAGCCGCGCCCACAGCCCTGCACCCGGGCCGCGCCCCCAACCCAAGCTCCGGCCGCCCCGCCCCCGCGCCCAGGCCGCGCCCCCAACCCGCGCCCAGGCCGCCCCGCCCCCGCGCCCAGGCCGCGCCCCCAGCCCTGCACCCGGGCCGCGCCCCCAACCCCGCGCCCCGGCCGCCCCGCCCCCGCGCCCAAGCCGCGCCCACAGCCCTGCACCCGGGCCGCGCCCCCAACCCCAAGCTCCGGCCGCCCCGCCCCCGCGCCTCCCCGCGCCCAGGCCGCGCCCCCAAACCCGCGCCCAGGCCGCGCCCCCAGCCCTGCACCCGGGCCGCGCCCCCAACCCCGCGCCCCGGCCGCCCCGCCCCCGCGCCCAGGCCGCGCCCCCAGCCCTGCACCCGGGCCGCCCCGCCCCCGCGCCCAGGCCGCCCCCGCCCCGCCCCCGGGCCGCACCTCCCCGCGCCCAGGCCGCCCCGCCCCCGCCCCTCCCCGCGCCCAGGCCGCGCCCCCCACCCCTGCGCCCAGGCCGCGCTGCCTGATGCCCAGGACCCGCCCCGCAGCCTGACCTGACTCAGGTTGATGTGCACGCGGAGCCGGATCGGGGAGCCGTCGTCCATGTGGTCCTCGGCAGACACCTCGAGGGGCAGGCCCCGGGCCTGCCGGGAGCTACCGAAGGCGCGCAGCATGTCCCGAACGGCCAGCTCGGCGTTCGCCTAACCAAGAACACCTTCAGCCCCACCCTCCCCAGCAGGCTGGGCCCCTCCCGCTCCCTGCCCAGCCCCGCCAGGGCCCACCTGAATGTGCCCCATGTAGGCCTGCACCACGTCCAGGCCGTACTGCCCGATGAGCTCCCCCACCAGCTGGATGCCCTTCTGGTTGGCCGCCACCTGGGCCCGCAGGTCGGACAGGTTGTCATGCAGGTTCCGGGTCCCGCTGCAGCCAGGGATCTTGCCAGGCGCCCGCAGGGCCTCTGTCACCGCTGGTGGGGGGCATCACCATGAGTCCCCCAGCCCCAGGCCACCGGGGCTCTCGCTGTCAGCAGCCGCAGCTGCCCTGGACACTGCCGGCCCCCACGGCCCTTCACTGGCTCCCCTAAACTCTGCTGACTCCTTTGGTGCCCCCAAAACTCCAGCCCCACCTGCTGCTGGATCTTCTCCCAGCTCCAAAGGGCCCCAAGACCGGGGCAGGCAGCTCTGCCCACAGCCATAGGAGCTGGCAGTGCCCAGGGGATGGGGGCAGTCCTCCCTCAGAAACCCCATCTCCCAGCCCCTGGCGCCACTCCCCCGCTGTTTCTGGGCGCCCCTTCCTTGCCCCAGAGAAAGGCTGCTGCCCCGGCCCCACCTTGCTGCCCTGGCCTCACGGCTCTGACTGTGAGAAAGCGTCTCCGGCGCCCGCCCCGAGCAGCCCACGGCCAGGCCCTGACCGCTCGTGCTTGGGGACGCCCCCCCCAGCCTGACGCTCCCTGGCCACCCAGGCCCCTGCCCCCGACGCTGACATGCGGAGCGGCCAGGCCTAGGGCACCCACTTTGTGTCCTGCACCCAGAGCAGTTGCTTACCCCACCCCCATCTTAGCCGCCCCAGAGCAGATGTGGCTTCCACTGCCCCCGGCCCCATCCCCCCGGCCCCTTCCCTGCTGCTGCTCTCTGCCGCCCCGGGCCGGAGCCGCCACGCTCCGCAGCCCAGACTCACTGCCCGCGCGCCCAGGCCCCTCACCCTCCTCCTGGAAGACGCCCCCCTGGACAAGCTTGAAGGACAGGAAGACAGCGCCCTCCTGCTGCAGCATGGTGGAGTGGGGGGGCATGGAGCCCGGCGTGATGCCCCCGATGTCCGCGTGGTGCCCACGACTGGCCACGTAGAACACGGGCCGCGACTGCCCCGGCCAGAACACCTGGGGGAGAGCGCGGTCAGCTGCGCCAGCCGCCCCCGCCCGGCAGCCAGGGCGCGGGCCTCACCGGTGTGATGACGGTCAGGTCGGGCAGGTGGCTGCCCCCGGCACTGGGGTGGTTGCTGAGCAGCACGTCGCCGGGGCGGAGGTCAGCGCCCAGGTGCTGGATCTGAAACCGGGAGGCAGGTGAGGCACGGGGAGGGGGCCGGGGGCCGTGGGCGGGGGCCAGCGGGCGGCGCACCTGGAACTGCACGGTCTCCTGCATGGCGCCCAGGTGCACGGGGATGTGTGGGGCGTTGGAGACCAGCCCCCCGTCGGGCCCAAAGAGGGCGCAGGAGAAGTCCAGGCGCTCCTTGATATTGGTGGAGATGGCCGTGCGCTGCAGGATGCGGCCCATCTGCTCTGGGGGCACAGAGTGACCGGGGCCGTGCCCCCGTAGCCCGAGAAGCAGCCCCCATCCCGGCCGGGACCTGGACAGTGAGGCCCGACTCGGCCCGCCCGGCCTGTGAGGGGCGCCCCTGTCCTGGCCTGGGCCCCTGTGAGGACCCGGCGCCCGTCGGCCCCGCCCCCTGCACAGGGGCCCTGGTGTTGCGGCCCCGGCCTGACCTGCACAGGTGCGGGCCCGTCTCCCGTCCACAGGGATGGAGACCCCAGGCAGCAGCGCCACGGTGCGGGGAGGCGCCGGCACGGGCTGGGGGCTGGGGTGCTCGGCCCCACGCCGTCCTCCCCCTCGGCACAGAGCGCAGAGCCGCACAGGCTCCAAAGCACGGGCGGGCTCACCGGCGATGCTCATGAAGCGGTGCGAGAAGATGGACAGGTGGATGGGGTCAAGCTGGGCGCCCACCATGTTGGGGGCCTCGGCCCCCACGGAGATGCGGATGTC